GTGATTAATGAGGCTAGACCATGCGAGTGTGCAGAATACCAAATGCCTTTGCTTTAAGAACTGTGAGAAGTTGCACATTGATAACAAAAGTCAGCATGTGGGGTGAAGGCGATTCCTTTTTATGGCGTTACCTTCAGAACCAAATTTTCACTACACCCTCAGCTAATGTTCAGGAGTTAACGTGCAAGAATAGTGGAAGAAGTCAGTAATCTCCGTCAAGACTTTGAAATGATCAGACGAGCAGTAAGGGACATGTTACGAAGATGTCAGATGTGCATTGACAGGAATGGTGGCCATGTGGAGGACTTAGCACATTAAACTGATGAGGTAAGTAGCGAAAACAAAGCAGATAAGATTGATTTAGGTACATTCCTTGTTTTCAAGAATGCGTTTTGTGGTATACTTTTTATGTGGGCACCCTTTACAAGAAATGCATGTCATATGTTCTATAGAAAAAGAAAAACCAAGTGTTTTGGTAACAGGCACGCAAATTGTCATAAAAAGAGTATTTATTTGTATTTCAATATTTTAACTTGAGATGGTGCACAGGTTTATTGTAAAGTACATGTACTTAAATATCTGTTTGCTCAGCGGCTGTAACTGGTGACCCCAAACCTCTGTATTTCGCTTTTAACTTCGTAATTGTTATTGGCCATATAAGTTTTTCATATATGTGTGGTATTAATCAGGGTGATAACAAAGGGTCAGTATTCCAAAGCCCTTGTTTGCAGTTGCATTCTCTTTGAGTGTGAAAAACAACAGACTTCTTATTTCTACAAATGAGTGACTGTCTCTTGGCCACAACTGACTGGTAGACTGACCATCTGTAGAAGGGTGACGAATGGTGCACAAAAGTTACAGAATGAGAGTAAAGTTCTCTTTCACCAATGTAAAAAATAATTATAAATGTGACACTGACACGAAATTTGTCCGGCCGCATGAAAAGTTGGCGTTATGAAAGAGGCCTAGTAGAACTAATGGCGAATGTAAAACACAAAGACGAACAAAGTTTTGGGTGTCGTGGGTTTTTGTGTCTACTATGCGTGGAGATACGCAGACAATAGACCTGGCCGTAGCTCTGGAAGTCCGTTTCGGTCATGTCACGGGTAACCTTGGACCGTTTTCCAATGCTCAACTTCGGCTCCGTCTCAGGTTTCAACTGTTTTTTACTAGCTGACTTTGAAGCTGTAAGCGCAGTAATTAGTCTAATAGTACCACAAAACATCAGATAAGATGCAAGAGATCCTGAAAGAACAGTAACTCAATTTAATTTAAATGCTTCAGGCCGACAATCGGGGATTTGTTTTGGGAACGAAGCCTGAGACGGAGCCCAAGTCGAGTATTGGACGTTCCTGCGTGAAACAGCGCCCTCTATTCACATGTCAAAAAGTTTTTGGGAAGTTTTGCTCGCCGAGTTCCTGTGTGGTACCCTCCCAAAGCGTACCCAGATCGCGTGTATTGTGGGTCATAAGTAATGGCACCTGTCTCCGTGGTAAATTAGCATGGAAAACGGGTGGAGCAGGCCGGAAAGGGGTAACAGTCATGACAAGGCCAGGGCAAAGTCACAGGGCACCAAAAAGCTTACGTCAGACTTTTTATTTTAGTTTTTCTGTATATTCTCTCTTTGTAGGTCTCTTTTGCACAGCACCGCTTTCCCTGATTTAAAGCATTGAAATGTGAATTTGATGAGCTTTTTGTTTAAAAATTAAGAGAAGTGCAAGATCATGAGTTTGTCCCGGGCGCGGGAGGACGCGTACGAGAAGTTTGACGAGGAATTGGACATCAGTTACCACATACGCATTGCCATGGTTGGGGATGCAGGCGCTGGCAAGACCAGTTTGTTGCTAAGATACACGGACCGGAACGGAAGCCGAACTCCCTCGGATCACAACATAGACGTGAGAACCAAGATGTTGATAAGAAATGGGCGCAGGATCAAGTTGGAAATCAAGGACACTGCAGGTTAATTTGGAGCATGTATATGGTGGTCTGTCAGCTTGAGTAACACAAGTCCTAATGCTCATGACATCGGGAAAAAAATATATGAATTTCTGATATCATGAGCAAAGAAGTACTCGAGAAGAGTTCGGTATCCAGACATCACTTGGGACTGATTTGAAAAGTCTAAGTGTTTTCCAAATAAATGCTTCAATACTTTCTCTTCTAAATTTGACTTATTAGTACACGTTATTGCTTTCTGATAGATAATAAACCTTGGCAAGGGAGATGTCCATATATAGAACTCTTACTATGTATATTTTGCTGGGATCCATTTTGGCATCATTTGATTCACTTCATCTGAGTGATGTGGTGAGTGCACACATAGTATAGCTTCTAGGTGCAGTACGTGCCCGTGTGACCCCAAGATTGAAATTAGGGGTTTGATCCCAGTGATTGCCAATTTATTTATTTATTTTTTTGAATGAAAGAAATTGCAATATCAATTACTCGCTGCTTGGGAGGATTTTCTTTCAAGAAAAAAAGTCTAAAATTTACAATTACCCAAATTCTAAATGTTGAATTCAAGTTCATAATTACAGAGTTCCTGTGGCTACAACAAAAATAAGCATATCAGGAAGCAGTTCACAGTCAAATATACTGTACCCTAGCAGTGCAGGTGTTTCCAGTTCTTTGAATTTCTTTTCAGAAGCCAACGACAAATTGATTGAAGGAATGCAGACATGTTTATTAAAGATTTAGCTCTCATTTACATTAAAGGGCATAAAAATTAATCTTTCTAGGGTGAATATTTTTCTGTCAACAATTTATATTCCATCTTAGTTTGTACCTGGCAAGTAGGTAAGTCTTACTTTCTCGGCCTCCCAAATTCCCAGTCCCAGGGATGGGGAGCATTGAATACTGGGGAAAAAAAAAATTAAAATCCTGTGTTACCTTGTGTCTTTAAAATTTGACCGTAAACCATAAAAATTTCAAACCCGGTATGAAGTGTGGAACAGCAACAGAGGACTCGAAAAGTGGCAAGGGGCAGGGAAATATCAATATAAATTTCACTTACAAGTTGACGTGCATTATCCGACTTCTGTTGACTGTAGGTTTGGAGCGATACAGGAGCCTGACCAGGTCACATTACAGTGCAATCACCGGTGCCCTGCTGGTGTTTGATCTGACCAACGAGATGTCCTTTCAACACTTGACATACTGGTAGGACCTGAACAGTTAGTCTGTTTGTGATTAATTGTATGTGTTGGGCCCCATCTACAGGAGAAAGGTTTAGGCATAACCCCCCCCCCCCGTTATAAGGACTACAAGGAAGCACCATAAGGCCAAACCCCAAAATACCTGTGTTTGCAGTTATCTGACCCAACCTAGAAAATCATGCGGAACCTATATTTTTTTATTCGACAAATCATTGAAATATAAAAATGTATGGTGCCTTGCCCTGAGCCCAATTTTGTGTACATCGTCCTGTACATTGTATTGTTTTAATTTTTTGGGGCCGGAGATTGACAGCAATACAATAATCGTTGGCTTGATTAATTCATGGCACATTAATCTGACACTGACTTAGTACCTGTTACAAATATACCAGCCCCCCCAAATACATCATCCAACCCCAATTTTTTGGGCTATAAAAATTTAGAGTAAAAAAATAATATTTTACCCAACCAACCACCCTAATTGATTTTTTAGTGTAATAGGAAACACAAGTAATTTGTTTGGCCTAAGCTTCCTCTAGTCAGCTGCCCTCCAAACAAAACTCGATTGGCTTTTGGTTGTGACAGTTTAACACAGTTTCTCCAACCTTCTTTACGTCCCTCCCCATTGAAAACATGGATACAAACTGACATAAACAAAGACAGAAAACGACACCCTCCCTGCCTGACCACCCCCTTTAAAGGATGCTGGCCCAGTGTGCTGCTGGCGTGTTTTCAAATGTGGACTAGATTAGCGTGCATCGGTATTGTATCGCTCATCACTGGAGCACTTTTGTCCCCGGTGGTAATCCGCTCGTGCTGAATGCCGCAAACAGTGATATAGTCATTCAAAACAATGACGGATTTCCTCCGCTATTGAAAACTGAAAAAATGTTGGCAATTCCCAGCAGCCCAGTCTTTTGTTCCAAGTACGGTCTTTTGTTACAAGGCCAAGCTCCTTTGTCCGATTTCGGTCACCCCAGCTTTTCATATATGGCCAATGTCTCTGGTTCTGGGCACCCGGCACGAAGTGGTGAAAGATCCTTGGTTAGTTACATGTACATGTATTTTTTTGGTAGTGTGAGTTCCCCCATAACTGTGCCATTCTGAGCTATTTTTCTGGGTTACATATACTTATGTCTTAATTAGACAGTTATTATGGGTCTGTATAACATATTCAAAAGACATTCTTTTCTCTGAGTCAAAAATTTACAAAACTCTCTTGTAAAAGGGGTGTATTGTATTGAATACCCTTTTCTGACCTCGAAACCCCAGTGGTTTAAATATGAAATGGAAACATAAATCATAAGAATTGCATAGTCACATTTTCCATAATGCTACAAAATTCATCAAAATTATTTTCAAGACAAATTCCTTCAGTAAATATGTGCAAGTTTCAGAAAATGATTCCTTTTCCACAATTTAATTTAAAGATCAAAAATTACACAGCACCCCATGTATGCTTCAATTATTAATTAAAAAAGCAAGGCTGTGTACTAATAAAGTTTTTTTGGTTCTGCAATTTGTCAGGGTATTCTCATTTATTTAAAGCAATCAATGGAGAAATAGTTATCAAGTGGCAGATGTAGGGTGGGGCTTAGTCATTCGGATCCCTTCTCTTAATTTTATTTTGTCTTTTTGACCCCCTTAGCTTGGCAACTTTTTACATCTTCCTTGTCTCAAAGGTATGATTTTTCTCTTTAGCGCTTACCTTGATAATTTTTTTTACATTCCCCTTGTCTCACCCAATTCAAGGCATGAGGAGCTATACAAGAATGCAGACAAGCTGGTCCAAGCCATCCTGGTGGGTACCCACTGTCAAAACGAGAACCGGGAGGTTGCCGAGGACAGCATCCGGCGACTGGCCGAACACTTTGACATGCCATACGTGGAGGTGTGTTCCCAGGCCAACAGCAACGTGGACTATTGCTTTGAGACGCTAGTGGACCGCATCATCGAGAAGCATTCCGAGCGGGTGAACGTCCAGAAATCAGAAAGGATTCAACTGAGGGATGAATCTGATACAAGCCGGTCATTCTCCAGATGCTGCACGATCATACATCCCAAAGAATCAGGTTGAGAAATCACCAATCGGCAGCCTCCATGCTTTCCGTAGCAAGGAAGGCCATGTCAAAATTTACTTAACCACAGCCTGAATTTCTACCCGAGTCTATAGCTGTGGTTTCAGTCACTTCCCGTACAGTAGTGTCTGTATTCAATTAATTCAGAAATAACCAAAGCACTAACCCAAGTAACTTTAAATATTTGGTTGTTTTTATGTCAACTTTTTAAACGAAATAGAAGTGCCCCTCTTAGGGATGGTACGCTCGGGGACTCGGGTACATACCACGGGATGGGAGGACATCAAACCACGCCAAAGGCAACAAAGTTTTGTACATTCTTATTTTTGTGTACAAATGAAGTTTTGTATAATATTCTGATGCTCTAAGCCTTTCTTACTTGAAATTTTGTATTCTTTTTTGCTTACCAAAAGTAGTAACGGTAATTTAATTACCCTAAACATATGTCCGGGTGTATAGCAAGCTTATTTCAGCTCAGTGTTATGTTACCAAATTCAAACTCACTGTGAGTAGGGTTTGGTTTTGAGAGAGAGAAAAAAACAATTCGTAATTTTTTTTTAGTTCAGTTTACAAATTAGAGTTATTAGAAATAACAAAAACAAAACAAAGTTTTATAAAGCCATTGCTTTCCATATTAAAGGTGACCAAAGTTAAGAAAACAAGCCACAAGTCCCTAAAGCTACATTTTGAAGGCCTTTCCCATTATCTAAATCTATAGGAAATCAACAGTATTCACTTACACAAAATGTTCATTTCCGGGGGAGTCGGGTCGGCACAGAGGTTCTTTCCTCGCCTTCCACCTCAGCGGTCTGGGTTCGAATCCCGGCTCGGTCTACGTGTGGATAGAGGTTTTTATTCCCTACCTGATTCTGTGGGTTTTACCCAGAACATTTCTCTGAGGTTTTCCTCCCACCTCTAAACTGTAACTGCTTCTTATTGTCTCCTCTCTACAGGTTTCTTCAGGCTTACGAGCTACAGTGCCTAGGGTAGTTTTGAGGAATCCTTGGTGTCATTACCAGAAATAATAATAATAATCAAGATGTCAAACCGAGTGAAAAGTCCAAACTAAGAGCTCAGTTTGTTTGCTCTAATGCAAACCAAGACCAAATCACTGAAACTATGCCTTTAAGATTCGTTTCTCAAAATTTAATCATGAAAGTGGTATCTTTCCAGCACTTCCAGAATTGTTTACTCCTGCCAACTAAGCAGTTTTTACCCACACTATCCATTTAAAAATATGTCACTGAAAGCACCTCCCATGCCTGAGATCAAGTGACAGACTCAGACAGAGCATAGTAAATCCTTTATCACTTTCAAGTAAAGAGTACGCATTTAAAAAATACTGTTTGAAGGTGCTCGGAGAACAGATACTTAACCATGTACAGTTTATACGCTGTCTTTACCGTCACACACTTCTGGCATTATGACAATAACCTTTTAGGCTGATCCGAGGAGACGGTAAGACGTAAGACCATGGTGGCAGGTGGCATCCCATTCAGTCCCATTTCATGCACGTTCTTGGGCCAGAAGCGCTCAAATGCATTCTGGCTAGCTGCAACATTCTGTGGTTTTCAGGGAGCATTAAATGCAATATTTCCAGGCAGGTGTACCACCTGCAAGCAAGCCAGGTACCACTGCAGTAATGGCTTCTAATACCGCTCGCCGAATGACATTATAAAAAAAAGTGCCTCTTGAGAAAAGCTAAGAGATTTCTGGACGAAATTCCGCCACCTGGTCATGAGGATACCAACAGCGGCATTAGGCATTCCACTGCACAAAATAACTAACCCTCAAAAGTTAATTAACTAACAAAACAGCTGACAATATTTCTATCGTTGCTGAGGGATTGGAGTATCAAACTCCCTGGTTTATATTTACCAATAAGGACTCGGCAAAGATTCACTGAAATGACTTAATGTGTTTGTTTATAAGCTATTCTTTAATACTTGCATGTATTCTGTATGGATTTTGAAATACAATTTCTCTTTTAGACAAACCTAAGATGCAGTTTTATTGATGCATGTATAATAAACGCTTAATAATGTGCTTAACCTTCATGTCTGGAATACAAAAACAATTACACAATAGAGGTTGTGTAAATTACAGCGAGGAGAGGGCATTGTTGCCATTTGCCCGTGTATGCATTTGTCTCACAAAAATGCAGGAAACAGGTCAGGCCTCGAAATAGTACTAGCCCAGCGTACAAATTGTACCTAAAAATGCTCCGGGCTACCTAAACTTGGTTCCGTGGTTGCCCAGTGGGCTAGTGAAATATTCAGAATAAGCCAACCTGTTAAAACTTAGATCAAAATAAATACATCTATTCAATAAAATAAATCAATATATCAATATAATTATCAAAGTAAGCAAAAAGTGGCAATTTTTGGCTTACGTAAACAACCCAAATGAGGCAAACGGTGGAGCAAAGAGGTGATTTTGTTCCCGACACCGTTACCAGTGACTCAAGTGATGTTTAACTGACATACATGCCTCTTTATTTATACCCTCAGCCTTTTATTTTCTGAAATGTCAAATTCTTTATTGGTGAGCTGATAACAAATTCGGGGTTTTAAATTTTTTACATACGGGCTAGTAAAACTCTAAATGGGCTTGTAAAATATCCAGTGAACTAGCCCAGTGGGCCAGCCAGGAGAAAAAAGTTAGTGCAAGGCCTGCAGGTGAATGTGTGACGAACATTTTGTACTCATTCACTTGAAAATTTGCCGCATGCTGTATAACCTTGGAACAGTCTTCAATCCTCCAACAGATGAAGGATTGAGGACTGCTACTTGAATACTGCTTTTTCTCAAGGATATAAAATTTGATGTATATTTTTATGTCAAAAAATCCTAATCATTTAAAAAGCAGCAAGAAGTTTTCCTCTTGATCGATGATGATCACATCACACCACGGTAAATTAGTGTGGTCACCAGTGCAATACTAAGACTTGTCAAAACCTTATCTTGAGGTTAGTCACTGATTCAAACAAAATTGTTTCATTCCAATAAAAGTGATACTTGCTAATGAAATACCCCATCCATACATTTCAATTTCTTTTCCTGTACAGTAATAAAGTACATGAGTTCGTATTAGTTACCATTGTGAAGCATTTGTGTAATGGTTGGCAATCTTTGTCCTTTGCAATTTAGACCTTGTTCCCATGATTGGAGCCAGACAATAGATAACAATGACACATACTGGCCTGTGCAGCCCACATAGGTTATCATTCTTGTGTATTTTCCACCCACTTTTGGCAGAAAGGTTGAAGTTCAGCATTAAAAGCTGATTTTGGAAGCCACAATGCATAAAAATTATAAAGTCAGAAAACAGAACACCAAGTCTATGCAAGTGTGATGCAAGTGCTTTGGGGTGAGGCCCCTTACTGGTTACGTGCGTATGCATAAGTTCAGACTCTGTCAAGTACCGTTGTGGCAGTGGGGATATGCAAAGCTCCCACGTGTTGCAGGGTAATTTGTGAGACATTTCAGATTTTATTTCTCTTTGGAAAATTGAAAAATCTGCACACGCAGTTTTAAATCTTTTAAACCTCCAAAATCAGAACAATTTGGATTAACGCTGAGCACTTAGCAGGTATGCTGTAGTAGTTAGCTCTTCTTTTAGGAGGGATTCTTTTGTGGAGAGAAGGGGACAAGTTTCAGTTGTGTGGACACTTGTTAAAATGTTAAAAAAAGAACCAAACTTAAATATCTCAATAAACAATTATATTTAGAACAATCAAAGAATGCATGCTATTGATAATTTTTGAAAAAGACCACCAAATATCGCCAAAAATTACAAACACCAGAGATCTCCGACAAATCAAATGAAGTGACTTCAATAAACTAGAGGAGATGGGTCCCAGCTTTCAAATTTCCAGAACTAAATACTGTTGTCTTGGGGGGAAGTTAGAGCTTGGCTTTCTGGTGAAGGAATCGCTTCATACTGATGGGGCTGAGGTCATAGGTTGAAGGCTTGCCCATGGCAAGGTCACCCAATATCTTGCCCATTAACAGAGCCATTTTGAATCCTTTCCCTGCAAGTAATGAAGGTGTATAAAATATCAAAAAGGAATGTTAAGATTGTCACAAATAGAATTTTGATAATGAAATACACCACCATTGAACAAACCTCAAGAGAGAAATTCAAGGAAATGTGGAATATCAACTTTGAAAAAAGTACCTGCTGTTTCCCAATTTTTGTTTCACAGCAGAGGAATATAAAAAATACAAGCAAATTCAGTTTAGCTTTAACAAGTAGACAATGCCAAGTAAAGTGAAATATTAAAAAGTTTCTAAAATCAGCAACTGCACAATTCCCACAAAAATGCACGTTGTACATCGTACCGTGTAGAATCGTGGTAGGTACGGTATGGCAACCGACAGCAACCTTGCTGAAAGATTTCCCAACAAAATGCGGAAGGGCAAAACAAGTTTCTCAGTAAATTAAACCCAGGAAACGGGTTTAAATGGAGCTACTAAAAGAAGCGACATCTTGGAATCAGCTACAACTGATAACCTTATTTTGCTGAACAAACACACAAAAGAGAAAATGTACAAGAAGCAAAATACAACTGTCCATGAAAAGTCAATCAGAACTGGGATTTGTCTCTTGAAATACCCGTGTGGACGTTGTGCATTTCAAAGTTGACATCAGTTTAACTTTTTGTCTGGTAGTAGTGAAATACTTGTCACATATGAATAAAATTCAACTTAAAAAAAAAATTTGCTTTGAGATTGGATTCATCTTACTTGGCGAGGCTGTGCCAAGTTGTCATATTTTGCAAGTACACAATTCATTTGTAGTCCTAAAAACATTTGTCACAAGTTAATTACCTGAAAAGCCGCATCCAATAGCTATGTTGTGGTAGACTGGGTGGATTTCTTCTTCAGGAGTGCACTGCGTACATTGAATTGAAAAAAAAACCCAAGTTTTTATATTTGTCTGAAGTTCTGAACACACTGCGCAATTTTCGGACAATCCATCTTACAACGAGCAAATACCCAAGGCTGTTTTTTTCTTGCATTAACCCCTTGACGACGGGAATTTCTTCCCGAAAGCCGACTCCAAGAATTCCAGCCGCGCTTGGCCCTTCG